CATAAATTATGTCTAATAATTCGACCTTTATAAGAGCGACAATGAAGGTTCTGTCTACCATTACCTTCGACGACAGAACGGCAACCAGAACAAGTGTAGGGTTGGGTTATTTACCAGTTTAAACGAATACCAATGACATGAGCGAGCTCATTTTGGTTTAGTTGTAAATGTATTAACTGAGAGAGTAGCTTTAAGGAACTCATGGCCGGATCCGTTAAGTAGCTAGAGAATAATAAATGGTCAGTTAATTGCATTTTGGAAAGGGGTGATTCAACGCAGTTAGCGATTATGGGCCTATTCCAGTCCCTCTGTTTGTTTCTGATCAAGAATAATTTGTGATTTCCAATTGATAATAACACAGTTATGGGAAGGGTCAGTTTAATAAAATGGGAATTTATAATATTTTTTGTTAATAAACTGGATATAAAGGCAGTTAAGGCAAAATCGAGAGGAGATCTGATATCTAATTCACCATTATTCGTGGGTAAAGAAGCTTTAGTCCAAGCTATTTCAAAAAGGTTAAAATATTTTTAAATAATATTTTAATCCCATTTTCATAAACACCCAGGAGTATGGGATATAAAATGGGAGTTGATCGTAACTCATATAGGATGCGAGGAATATTAGATAAATTTGGCAAATAAATCAGCTAACTCAAAAAGCGCATCAAGAATGGAATGAAGCAAGGAAGAGATTGCTCTATTACTTAAATGATTTAGTTTGTAGTTGCGTGAATTAGATTCAATTGACTTGAGAGGGATATTCGGATTTCTCGGGGGTTGATACCAATAGCGGTCCCAGCCTCCATGATTAAATTCACAGCTTTACTGACTTCATCATTGGATCTAACAAGGATACCGTCATCAATATACCAGGCATGTAAGGATAATGAATACGTCGAGTTAATGGATTTAACAATGTCGTTGATACCCAAACAGAAAAATAAGGATTCAAGAGGATCTCCCTGGCGTATACCCTCAATAGATGGAATCTTATAAATGCCGAATTGCAGGGTAGAAGGCAGATGATAACAAGAACGAAAAAAAATTAATGTAACCGGTGAAAAGGGCACAAAAGGAATCAGGAAGGAATTCTGAGAAAGTATATTATAGGCATTGGAGAAGTCAATTTTAATTAAAAACTCATTGATAGGCTATTTTTTAAATGTATGCTAGTTAAATGTGTAACAGCTTCACATTTACTTGGAATCCTAACACTTAGTTGGAAAGGGCTTAGAAGAGAAGAGGCTTCATGCTCTTTTCGAGAAGATATCATCTTAGCTACTAAGCGACGAAAGTTAGAACCTAATGTGGGCTCTTGAAGGCACTTAGCCTAGCACCAAAAGGATTGAATAAACAAAGCTAGGTACTTCACCTTTTTAAAATTTGACTGCAAAGGTTTATTAATTTAGTGAAGAATGGGAGTTTGTTGAGCATATTGAGGAAAACGTGATATCCTGGTAGAATATAGGGTGGATACCATTAAAATCATATATCATAAGAAAATAAATCTCAACTTAGTTAATAAGGTATATAAATACTTATACCTAAGAATTTTTTTAAGATATTAAATTACCATGCATTTAGTTACAAGCATTCTTTTAAAAATTAAATTTTTTCTTAATATAATATTATTTTTTTCGCCTTCCTTATTTTTATTGTTTTAAATTTATTTTTAATTACATCGTACATTCTCTTCAAAATTTTTTTATAATGAAATGAGAATTGAGTGAGTGAAAATGAGGAATAAATTTATTTTTAGAATATCTTTTAAAAAAGTTGGCTATAAAGAAAGAAACTTTAGGAAAAATTTATTATATGTTTGATTTCATATACTATTTAATATAGGTTAGCGTTTAAAGATCTTTTCACATTAAAAATTAATCCTTCCACTATAAAGATCTAGGATAATTGATAGTGAACAACATAATAAATTTTTTAAAATTGATACATTAGTTTAAGCTTTTCATTTTTAAATAAATTTTACATAAAAAAATTTATATCAAATTATGTGTACTTTTTTAAAATTATAAATATCTTAATTGATAAAGTTGTAACATAAATCACGGACAGAAATATCCTGGACAAAATATACCGGAGGTACCCCAGGCAAAAAACACTGGACAAAAATTCAATAATTTTTGAAATTTATTTAAATGTTTAAAAAAGGGCTATTAAATATAATTACCTTTGTAGAAAGCGTTTATTGTATTTATGAAAATGATAATCATAGGCTAAGCCTCAGCCTATCAAAATCGGTTTAGGTTTAGCCCAAATTTTCGGTTAATACCCAACTATTTAGTGATGTAAAATACCCGATTTAGTCGTCTAAATGGATGGACTTGGACCACTAAATGGGTCGACTTAGCCGACTAAAATTAGTCAAATAAATTAGTCGACTAATCGACTTATTTGGTCGCTCGGGGTCGGAATCAATTTTTCGACCAAAAACTCGATTTGAGCAGTGTTTTAATCATTTAAAAAAAGTGTTATTAGATGTTTGGTTTTAAGAAATTATATATAGAAAAATATCTTCTTACCAAATTTAATGTATTTAAGCTCAAGAACTAAATTATTCACGCTATCATTGATACTAGAGGTCTGCAAAGTAATTTTTCGCGGCCCGAACCCACCCGAGCCCAAATTTAAAATTTTTTGTAAGAACCCGACCCGAGTACACATTTTAGATTCACCCCAACCGAAGTCCTACTAAAAGAATTTCAATAATTTGAGTTTAAATATTAATAATCATTTTAAAAATATATATATATATATATATTAAAAATTTACATATACATACATTTATATTAAAATAGAACATGAAAAATATTTAAAAAAAAATATATTAAATTTTTTTTAAAAAAACGTATACAAAAAATTAAAAAGGAGAATGCTAAGAATGATTCGGCCAAAACATTTTAAACATTAAATAATTGGACCGAATTATATGGGATAGCAATGTTTTGTTTAAATTTATAAAAAGGGGTTTATGTTTTCTCCTATGGATTTCGAAATCATTTCTAAAAGATTCAAAGCGGCTTGTCCATAAGAGAAGGATGATGTAGCAACGATGCAAACAGGATATTTTTTTCCCCAGTACCAGAACATCAGCATTTTATCTTGTTTAAGCATTTTTTTATGGAGGGTATACGAATAATCTTTAAGTAATGAAATGGGGCCTAAAAAAATTTATTATTAAATTATATTTTTCTAATATTTTTTTCTAAAATACTAATTTGTCTATACCTAATTAAATCCAAATAAAAATATACCCGATATTATTAGATCTTAAGTAAATTCGAAAAAAAATTTCGGGGTTTTTTTTCCGGGATTCAAAATAAATACCTATTTATAATATTGGGTAGTAATTAAATTAAAAATACTATATTCCTATATCTTATTGCCCTGAAAATCTTGGTCGTTGTAAATAGATAAAGCACGACTTTTACTTAATATTAAATAATGCTCAAATAAAGAAGTTAGAACTTAGAAGGCATCTTTTTTAAATATTTTGTAATCTAATAATAAAGCCAAAAATTTAAGAAACATACTAAGCCAACATTTTTTCTCAAAAAATTAGATTTGGGACGTTTATTTTTTAAAATTAGATGGGGTGGCACCGTTCTGAAAATAAAACTGGTTAACAATATATATATTTTTTCAATAATTTTGAAATAATCAAGTAATATAATAACGATTATGACAATTGTCACTTTTCTATGGTACATCTTTATTTAAATTTAAACTATACATCTTAATATTAAAAATTTTAACTTGTTTGCGTAACAAAAAATCAAAAAAGTTAAGTAAAACGATTATGACAATTGTCAATTTTCTGTGTTACAAATTACAATACATCTTCATTGAAATTTTAACTTAAATTTTTTTTACAATATTAATTTTCACCCATTTATGTAAAAATAACGATTAGAAAAATTATCGCTCTTGTGAATTTAACATTTTATTAATAATATAATAAATTAAATTTTTACCCTTCTGTGGTAAAACTTCTTTTATAAAATACGATTATGAAAATTGTCGGTGCATCTTTATTGAATTTATATTTTAATTTAACATGCTTAAAAAATAAATAATATTTTTTTCTTTCAAGGCAGGAGGAGAGGTATAAAACATAAAAGAAATAATATATTAATAAAATTGAAAAACATATGGGCTTTTAATAAAGGGGTAAAAAAATAAATATCATGAAGATCTTTACACAAAATTTTTAAAAAATAAAAGATCTTCAGATTTTACGATCTTCAAAGATCTTGCCCAAATTTTTGAGCTAGATCTCGCTTAAAAATCTTCAAAGATCTTTTGTAAAACTCTGGAAATTGGTCAAAAGTATGTAATTTAAGAAACACCTGTTTAAATGTTAACAACTATCTTTTTAATCTCACCATAATAATAAACTCGTAGGGAGGACAAAAAGTACTGAATTATTTAAGATTGTGAGTAAATTCTTAGGAAACTATAATATTTAGCAAAAAAGGTTTATAACTGAAAAAGTAGGGGCTTAAATAATTTTAATGACAGCCAACTATAAAATTAAAAACGGGTTGGGCTTATATATTTGAAAATAAACATTTGTTAAAATAAGATCATAACCAATATTCATAATAAAATTTAATCCTAAACTATTTGCTTCAATAAAAGGTAGCCCTATAAAGAGCTGTTAGGTACTGGTAGTCGATAGAATTACTATATGATGAAGGTCACATCCCCATTGCCCTATCTTTCTAAACTCGGATTAAATTTTTCATTAAAATTTTTAAATAATATCAATAATATAATTTTTTTTGAAGGATCTGTATCTTTTTGAATCCAAAGTGATTAAGATACAGATATTTTCAAATAATTCGAAAAGTTTTAAAAGGATAATTTTTATTGGCTTTGGCTAAGCTATTAGGTTAGCTGAGAAGGCTTAGACGTTTAACAACTATATTTGCAAACTGTCCTGAATATATTTTTTTATTATTATATTCGACTAATAATTATCTTAACTCGTTATGCGATATGTGACATGTTGCCAATCATTTATTTTCAATTTAAGAGCGATGAGGTCAAATCGCCAAAGGTAATACTATTTTATTATATTAATATTTTAAAATTATTTTATATATAACAGAAAACGTCCTAGCAATGAAGAGTCAATTCCCAAAACAAATAAGAAGCCTAAGTCTACTGAAGGTTTTTTTTATATATTAAATGTTAATATCGCTAAAATATTAAAATTAATCTATCCTGCATTTGAATATCTACAAAAATATATATATTATTTTTCATAAGCCAATATATTAATTTACCTTTTATTTAGCTGACAATTTAAGTACCTATGAAGAAAAGTTTAAAGCAAGATTTAGTGTTGGAGATATGGAGTTTCAAGAATCTATAGAATCATATAAAAAACATTTCTTCACACCGCCAATTGTTGATTTGCATAATAAAAAGTTCTATTAACATTATATCATTCATAAAAAGCGCTATTAAAATTTTAAACTCAAATATCTGGAATGTTAATTAGACAATTATATTATTTATTACTATATAGATTTTTTTGAATAATATAATATGATTAAAAAGTTTATTCCATAATTAGTTATTTCTACTATTAAATATAAATCTATTACATGTGCTATGATCCATATATTCTATTAAGTTAATGATGCTGAGACCCAAATAATAATTGGGTATTTTTCCATGTAAATATTGGCAATGTTTTTAAATATATAATTCTATAATATTGATATTTTCAATATTTAACATTCTATAATTTATTATTATTCATTTTATTTTTCTATATTTATATTCATCTTATTAATTTTGATAAAAAAACCTTTGAAGATTAGGTGCATTTGCTTTTGAACATTATTAAAAATTGAGATAAAATTAAATATAAAATAAAGAGAAAAATATCTGTATAATTGATGTATTTATAATACCTTTTCAAGAGGATACTCCCCTCAAGTGATGCTACTGTGTATGGAATATTTGCCCTATATATTTTAGACAATTTGATAATTATAAATTTTTAATATAAATTAAAATTTATACAAGGGTTTAATATAATTTATCAGAAATTTATAAGTAGGTATTATACACATATTAGAATAAATTTATGGCAAAATCAGATATTTAAATTTAGAAATAATAAGAACATCCATTAAACTATTGTCTTATCAAGATTTATAAAAGAAATTAGAACCGAAATAGATTTAAAAAAAATAACAATGAAATCCAGAAAAATTATCTGCCAACGCAGACAAATTATTTGTATAATTTATCAAAAAAAATATAATTAGATGCAATCATTTATGAACATATCTTGTATATTACACCAAATAAAGTGAATATTATCATAAAAATATTTTGACTGGGAAATTGACTAAATTGTATTTGAGCAGTTGAATCAATTGCTTTATATAATTAATTGTACTATTCCCTTTATATATTTACAATAATTTTAAATTTGATGAAAAAAAAAGTTATACTTCTATGGGAAATGCCTTTATTTGATTAATGATTTTTCGTGGCAGGTTCCTGAGACATATTGTAATTTCTCAAATAGGACAGAAATAGATATATGATGAAATAAAATATTATAATAGAGACCTCATGTCAAATTGTGTTGATTTAACTTGATCAAAAATTATTATATATCATAATAAATATTGTAAACAAGTATGTATTTATGAATTTTCATAATCAACCAAAATTTATTGATTCCATAACCTAATTCCTATTTAGCATATTTGAGAGATTCTATATCCATTTTACTTCTTGTTGTAATATATATTTAACAAGAGTTGTTAACACCTTTTTAAAAGGAAGTAGCCTCTTCACCCACCATTTAAAAAAAAACTAGCTTCTGCTACTTATTTTTTGAAGGGGAGAGGTGCTCCAATTCCAAATTAAATTTTTTTTATTAAATAAAATACAGAACAAATAATATATATTTTTTTATCCATATATTTTAACCAAAAAATGATGCATCAAATTCTTTTATAATCTCTTGTTTTCTTTTAAAAGTAGCAAATGTTCAATATTTGGATCCGACAAGCCACCACTCGTTTCTCTTAAACGAATTTTGTAAAACTAAAGAAGCGCTCTACAGAAGTACTAGAGGTATGGGGGTATTGTATTTTATAAAAATATTTTTTTAAATCGTTATAATTACAAAATATATCTATTATGGTTTTTTGTTAAAAAAAATTGTTTAGTATTTTATATTCTTAATAATCCATTTGATTGAATCCAAGCATATCTATCTTCTTAATCATTGGAGGTATTTTTGTATTAGGAGTTTTCTTATAAAATTTATTTATTTTTAATTCCCTATTTTGATATCTTCTTATCTATTCCCAATTCAATTTGAATCCAGGATAGATAAACATCAATGATAATATCAGAGACCTGAGGCTATTTTTTAAAAAAATTTCGCCCAACCCGTATTTTTTTAAAATATATTATATTTATTTTTGTTATAGCTAATAATGGCGATTTCAAATATATAATATATGACCCGACCCTTTCAGGCCTGGTCATATTTAAAAAAATTAAAAAACGGCTATATCATTATAAACAGTTGAAAGTCTCTAATAAAGTAATTTAAAAAAAATATTTTATTTACCCTTATCATTGTGGCATATAACAAGACTCTACAAGAGGCAAAACTCTAAATCTGTAAAATCGTTCTATTTTTAAGTGTGTTTAGAAATAGTTGAAGTTAAAAACCCAATATTCATATGAAGCTCACCTTCATAGTATTTGCTAAGGCTCTCTAACGTGATATTTATTCCTATAGAAAAAATAACAATTATATTAATATTTAATTGGTTATATTCTTTAATAAATTTACGCTCTGAGTTAGGGGTAAAATGTCCTATGTTAACTCATAAATTATCAAGATCTTACAGTTTTTCGTTTAATATTTTATCTACCATAATATCAATTCCCTCTTGTGGTATTTGAACTTATCAAATATCTTCCCAATTTTTTAATTATATTATCAGCCATATTTGTGGGCAGATTTTATTTATGACATAAAGACCTACACTTTTGAAATTTATTTTGGGATACAATTGTAAACCTTCTATTTACTGAAGCTTTCTCCACATCAAATGTGGATACTAAATTATTGTCATAGACAACGTGAATATCTTTAAAAAATTATAACTTTCTTCTTTGTTAATCAGGATATCATCGGTGCCTACAAGTTGAAAATCTTCATCCATTTTATAACTTTTATCCTCAGACATTCAACCTCTAAAAGGGAAAATTATTTCTTGTAGGATGGAAGTTTTCTTTTGTCCATTTCAGTAGTATCTTGTATCTGTTAACATGATATCGTCTTCTATGGTTTTTATGTTCTATAAATTAAATTTAAAAATTGGCAAAAAAATATATGACAACTCGGCTCAACACTCAATTAGTTTCATGAATTGAAATATATGTTATTTTTATTTTATTCAACAAGTACATTAACTGAGATTATTTTTTAAACAATTTTTACAAAAAATTAAAGAACTAGCTTCCATTCCCGAATCTTGAAAAATAACGACGCTCCAGGTATTTTTAAAAAAATGTAGTGGCCCTCTTTAAATTTAACTAAGTGAATATAAATATTTAGTTTTAAATCTTTTTAAAAATAAATTATTATTTCTTGTAGACAGAATTTTTAGAATATTTCACATGCATATAGAATTTAATTCTATTATAACAGGCATTACTAAACCATGAAAAAAGCTCTCAAGACGGATTTAAACTATGTAAAAATAATTAAATACTAAACCACACAAAATCATAAAAAAGCAGGCAAAATGTCAGAAAACACATAAAATAATAAAAAGTATGTAAAATGACAAAACATGAAAAATCAGATAAAAGCATGCAAAATTATAGATCAGCACGCTAATAGAGAGGCAAAATTAGAGAAAAAGTGAAAAATGACGAGAAATACAACGAAACCCAAAACAAGGGCCGGCAAAAAAACTCAAATTGTATTCAAATGCAGATACTTTTCAATTTTTTGGATATAAAATATTTGTGAAAAAATACTTTAAAAAAACATTTTAAACAAAATATAAATAAAAAATTCTCCACGATATTATCTAAGAATTATGTGTAAATTCAGGTAAGAAATTAAGCACAACTCTATTTAACCCTTTGATGCTTAATCCTTTTATCTCATTTCCCCAAAAATGAATATAATATACCACTATAATAATTGAAAAAATAAGTATAATCTACAGTGCAACGGGCTATCCTTTTTGGTGCTCTTGCCAATAATTATTAAAATAAAATCTGTAACATTATTACTGTTATTCTTAGCATGTCGCATAAATAAAAAATTTTAAATACAAAAACATATTTAGAAAAATGATAGTTATTATTATATGAAGAAAATAACATGGCTAGATTCTTCTATATATAAATGATAAACGGGTGTATAAAATGACAGAAAACTCATTAGTTCAAGTCAAAATAATCATAGTGAGGGAGGATATAAATGAAAGAAAATAAAATTAAAAATATGGCATAGGAATACAAATGATTAGGTAGAATTGAACGGTTAACAAAAAAAGATATTATTATATATTTGGAAGTACAACACCAACTAGTATTATTAAAAAACCCGTTTTTAAAAGACGACCCAATTGAGATTTTAGCCAAATGAATATTATATAAACCTTGAGATTTTGCTTATAGATAGGAGAAAGCAGAAATTCGAACCGAAACAAAGTTTAAAGTTCGAATTAAAATAAGGGTTCAGGTTCAATTCGTAAAAAAAATTGGTTTAAACACTTTTGTATACAAACTTACATTCGAATTATATTTTATTTGTTGTGATATTTTTATAAGCTTAAAAATGTTTTAATATGGTAATATACTAATGTTTATAAAAATTGTGACTGCCACTTATCAATCAAAATTGATTGATAATAATCTTTAAAACAATTCGATTTTAGCAATACGCTAGTAGTAATAACTTTCATACTATTTTATAAGCACAAAATCATTAGGTTAGCTGTTTGATCTAGGTTCAACTAGAAAATCTTTTAACGGTTTATGTTTGGTTCAGATTCGCTAAAAAACCTGTTAGTTTGGACCTCTATTTACCAAATCTCGAGGCTTACATCACATTATTTTGGCTAAAATCCCGTTTTTCAAAAATAGGCTTATCGGATTAACAACACTAGTCCTTGATAATTTATAAAATTTTAATCCTGAACCGAACCTAAGCCTTTATTTTTTTCAAAGGGAACCTTAATCAACCGAACTGATAAGGTGTGCAACTCTAATATTTAGCAAGACTGAGAACCCGTACCTATTTAAAAAATTAGGGTATATTTATTCTTTCAATGACGAAATTTTGGAAGATATAATGATTCGCTTAAATAAAATTTTTAAAGTACAAATAAAAGATCATTTTATAAATTGTATATTATAATTATGACGAAATATTATTTTGATGAATAAATATAATTAAATAAATAAAAAAAACTCATGTTTCTATTATTTTAACTTAATTTTATAATTCCTTATTCTGACTCCGAACCCTAGATTTTTCACTGACCCGAACCTTTTTTAGAACGATTGTTCAGCCATGATATTTAGCAATTAAAAAGATTAAATTAATATTATAATAAAAAATATTAGCTTAATTTAGTAACAAATTTATCAATAGGCAAAAACTTACAAGGCTCAAGCGGATCTTCGAGTTAGTTCAAGTCAGTCGATTTTTCGTTAGAAACCTAACCCGTTTTACAATACTAACGAGTTATATAGATTTATAATTAAAAGGTAGTCAATGTATACAAGTTACTTCTGAAAAAATTTGGAAAATGTAACGTTGATTTTCAAAATTAATAATCAATATTAAAAAATGGTATAAATAATTCAAAAAAATTTCAACTATTTTTATTGATCAAATCATTAAATAATACTATGACAAGCATTAAAATTTTTTGTATTATGTCAAACATGAAAAAAATATTGGAAGACAATATTTATTATGCGTTCATTGCTTAAAGTTGAGTTTGAGATTTACTGGGTTTAAACTATTCCGTATAAGAAATTTATTATTTATGATCTATGAATCATGCGGTCTTCATTTTTTGGAAATTGAATAATACTTTGTTAATCAAATCATTTTGCCTTATCCCGGGTAATAAAATGAAAAAACAACCTTTATATTATATCAAATTAAAAATATAATATAAGTATGGTTTACTAAAATGATGACAAAATTATTCGAATCGAATATGAATAAAGAAAATATATTATCTTTCGAATATTTATAAAATATTATTTGATCGAATTATTCGTATAATTTAAAATTATTCATAATTTTAGAAATAATTTGTAAATATTCGAAACAATTCTAAGTATTTAACATGTTCCTTGAGAAACCTTTTATTTTTTTACTTTTCCACATCTTAATAAGCCTTTCATTTTTGAAAATGTTTTAAAGAATTTAAATATTAAACTCGAATATTTGGCGATCAAATCGAATGTTTTTATTATTCGTACGAATAAGGATTATTCAAATCGTTCGAATACGATAATATTATTCGAATAATGCACATAATCAATTCGTATTTCTGTAGGTATACTTTTGTTATAAAGAAAAATTAATAAAATAATATAAAAATATTGATCTAAAAACAATGACAGATGCCTTTGCAATCAATGCAAACATTGAAACAAACAAGTCAGTGAAAAAATGTGGACAGACCTTTCATCCAGATTAATACACTGCCAAATCAACACTAGGCTTGACAAGGGGAGGTAACAAATCATACAAAGAACTATGGTGGTGAAATGAAGAGGTACAAACCACAGGAGAAAAAAGCCTTTTATAAAATATGGTACAAATCCAAAAACCCAGATAAAATCCAAGAGAATAGCTACAAATACGGTGGCTAGAGCCAAATCTATGGCATACGATGACATGTATGAAGAAATACATACCGAAGAAGGGCAAAATAAAATATACAGATTAGCCAAACATCGAGAAAAGAATTCTAGGGATATAAACGGAGCTCCGAAAGTAATCAAAAATAAAGATGGGAAATTGATAATAAAGGAAAAAGAAATAATGAATAGATGGAAAGAATATTTTAAGGAGCTAATCAACTTAATACCCACATACTACATCTAGACGAACACTCCCCATGTCAAAACCTTGTACAACCTATAACAAAACAAGAAATAAACACATGCCTCAAGCATATGAAAAACAACAAAGCTAGGGGTCCAGATGATATTCCAATAGAAAGCCTTAAAGCACTAGGAGATGAGGGAATACACCTCCTCACAAATCTGTACAATAAAATACTGGGAAATGAAGAGATCCCTCGAAAATGGAGGCAGAGCTATCTAGTTCCTATCTTCAAAAATAAAGGGGATCCACACAATTGTCAAAATTACAGGGGAAACTATATAAAGAAGTATAAATTAGATAAAAGAGATTGTATGAATAACATAAAGTGGAGAGAGATGTTGAAGGAGCTTACCACCAGAAAAGGTGAAAGCTAAAGAGAAAAAAAAATTGATCTAGATTCTAATTTAAATATAACAAGTTTCCAAAATATTTTAAATATTAGATAAATTTTCGGGATATCCTCATATGGCTGTATTCATATTGGAGCAATAAACGCATGTAAACAAAATACAATAAATAAATTGTATAAACAAAAGCATTTCGCTTTTAAACTTTAATAAATTATATGAAATTTGTTTAAAATTCAGTTATGATTTTAAATCTTATATTTAATGAAATTGGTAAATTTAAAAAATCTGTTTAATAATTATAATTTATATTAGGCTCTAGTCCAGCTAAATAACGTGTTGGGTTGGTATATAATTATTTTACTATTATTAATTATAATCTCATTATTTCTAAGCTATAGGTTATTATATCCTGAATAAAATGTCTTGGTATTTATGATAATTAAATGACATAGTATTTAAATATATGATTTCAAAGATGAACGAGTTAGTGCTCGAAAAAAACATCATCAGGATATCCAAAATGTTAGATAAAGAAATAGGAAAAAGATCAGTGAAAGGAAGAAATTTTTTTTTTGATGAATTGATCTTTTGTACAAAACTTTGAGTAAAAAATCTTTGAAGATCACAAAATTGAAGATTTTTTTTATAAAAAATTTTAATAAATAATTTTTTCACAAAAAAGATTTGAAATTTTAGAGAAAATTAATTAAAAAAATTTAGAAATTTTTTTTATTTTAAGGAGCAATTATTCAAGCTTCAACTTGACACAGATAATTAAAATTAACAAATTATCAAAATGAATTTGTTTCATTAATAAATATCCTTTTAAATTTTTAATTGTTATTTACCATCTTTTTCCAAAGAGACTACATTGTAGATATTTCAAAGGTGGCTTCCCACGGCATACATACATAAATAATTTAATCTTAAAAGGACCTAAATCGTAAATTCCCTAGAGCCTAATCATTTATGTTCAAGCAACAACAGAAGACCCAATATATAATGATAAAATTATACTATGATGAAATTATCGATAACAAGAAAGTTTGATTATTATTCCTAGAAAAAGATGATATATTTATACAGTTAAATAAGTTTTAAAACATCTAGAAATTAAAGACTAGTTTATAAAAATAGGAAATTCGTGAAGTAGGTACTTAATTGTGAAAAAATCATGTTGGGTTTAATCAGTGGAAGGTGATATTGTTAGTTATTATGAAGAGGAATCTAACATATATTTCGTCAATTATATGAATTTTGATAATAATATAATTGTGTTTAAATAAGATCTAAAATAATGCTTGTTTAGCTTAAAATTTATGCTAAGAGAAAATTTTTGAAAAGGTCTAGTGCCCTCTAGTCCAATATAAAGGTGCCCATTCAATTGTTTTTCAAAAAATAATTGAGGGTCTTGAGTTATTTTTGTAAAATTTTAGCATCTTTTATCTAAACTTAAAGGATTTGATCAAATTTTAAAAATATTTAAATATTCTGTACTAAAATTTTATAAAAGTGAATTAGGAGTTTTAGAAAGGGTAAAAAACTAATTTATGCTTGTAATAACTGTTATCTCAGGCAATGTGATCGCTAATGAGCTATAATTATATTTTTGAAATAAAATAATTAGTTTTGGTTGAAATACAACAACTGGCAGAAATTATATATAGGGAATTAATAAAATATATTATTAAAACAATAGGAATGGATAAATAAGAATTTAAAAAAAGAGTTTTATATAATTTTGGAGGTGTTTTCCAATAGAAGCATAATTTTTTAATATTAAATTGTTATGGTTTCAGTTCTTGATACCATTAACAATTTAATATATCAACCTTGGTATTAGTGCATCATGTATATATTAAAATTAATTTTGAAATGGATCTTACACTTGATATATAACAAAATAAAGTTGTTAAAATTTCCTATCCATAATGCAAATATGAATTTGATTGTCAGGAAGGATAAAAACTAAAAGCCCAATTAAAAGCATATAAATTTAAAAATAATATATATATACCAATATAGAGGACTTATTTCTTAATATTAATAGAAATTCGTAATATGATTGAAAAAAATTCCACATTGTTATTATGCCCATTGAAAAATTCATAAGCTTATTTTGTTTTGATTTATCCCTAGATAAGAGCATGATATTTATTAACATTTATATTTTACCATTTTTGACCTGAATAAATATTTTCTGTTATTAATGGAGATAAAGCATCAATGATCACAACTAATATAAGCATAATGGATGATAATGTCAAAATAGACAAATCTGCAACCCAAACAATGCTTAAAATAATGAATATTAATCTGAAAGGCGACATATTCTTACAAAAATAAGAAGGTAACTAAGGTAATCAAAATAAATGGGTAATAAAATTTATCCCATATCAATAATTCATATAAAGAAACAATTAAAAAACGAGGACGCTCTAATTCTTGTACTATAAAATCAGCAGGCTAACATTAAAAATGTAATGAATAATTTGAATATTTAAAAACTTGTTTAGGTAATATATATATTTTAGAATTGTTAGCAGAGATGTCCATAATGAGAATGAATGAAATTAGATTCGAACATAAGAGAAAATACCATATGTCAAATTAATTATTGAATTATGCTAAATCGTAACCATTGCTAAAATAGGCATTTAAATAATAATACAACAAAATAAAAGAAACAACGGTAAGATTCCCCAATTTTTTAAAGATTAGATTAAAATATAAGGCAGATAGGGTAGAACCCTGAGGCTTTGCATCAAAATTATTTTTTTTTATAATGACCTAAATTAATGTTTTCTAGTAGTTATAAATTAGATAATTAATAAATTTACATAATCATCTAATTCCATCAAATCTATATTTACTACCTAATCTTTTTCTTAGGCCATTAATAAACGATTTATATACATCAAACACGAAATAATTCTAAAAAAGATATAAGTAATAATATAACAGAAATCTAAAATAATTAATTAAGAATTAGAAATTTTAATATAATAAAAATTGAACTAAAGCATATTAAATTGTTGAGAATCACTAATATAATCAGATATATCCAAAGCTATAGCGCACGATTCTTTGACCAATGGTTCAGGGTCGGTTAAATAATATTTTAATAAATTTTCATAAGATTTGGCTAGATTAGGAATATCTGTTTTATAATAATATAAATGTAAAAATTGAGTGAGATAAATAGTGCGGCTCCAAAAACAACCGGCTAGCTGAAAACTTATAATAACTTCTCAATTTTTGTCCCAAAATTATAGTTAATAATCACATTTTTTTCATTTATTTGTTATACTCGTGCTTACGGCTAAATGTTTATCTCGCAACGGCATTTAAAATGACAAGACTTTCTAAGTTGGTCAAGTATTATCGTTTATATATTACTGACTTAGCATTATTAATAATTATTTTGGATATATTTAGTTTTTCCAATGATCATAAAGAGAGGTCGCAGAGTTCGATAAAATATTAAATGAAACCTCAGGATGTTGATATATAGATAGCATATGTGAATTATATTCAAAACTCTTAACTAATTTTGGCCGACCTTTAGCCACTTTTTTATTAGGCCTTAATTTTATTATCAGTAAATCAGGGATCCCTTATTAACAAATATCGGTTCATATTAAAGAGTTTGAAAATTCCCTTCAAAATATAATTTTGACTTTGAAGGTTTTTTATTCTCAAATAAGTTTTTTGATTAAATTTTAAATCTTTTATAAGTAAATATTTGTGATTTTTAATTATAAAAAATGGTTACTGCTAATAATGGACCAATCAAAATAATTATATTCTCAAGTTATAATATCAAAGATTATTAACCGGTTCATGGACCAGGTTCCGGTGGCAAAATTATTACCAGGGTAATATGTTAAAGAGATCTATGAGATTTTGAAATCTCACACCATCAAAATCCCAAGTATGGATTGTGGGATAAATAGCCCTCAATGTTTTTGAAGCGATAAATCTAAAGTAAAAATTTTCATGTCATGAATTAAAAATTATTAATATTATAATTGAAGTCAATAATGGTATAAAGCCTGTTTAATTATAATCTATATTTTAGAAATATATTTTAATAATGCTTTATAAGAGACATTGTTTCATTTCAAGAGATCATCTTTATTTTTTTAAAATTTTTATTGGTTTCCGCGGTAAGATTTTAACTAATAATTATTAAAATTCGCTTCCCTTTTATAGGAAAGCTCCAATTGTAAAAAAAATAACAAGTTAAAAATAGATTTCTTTAAAATAATAAATCCCAAAATCATGCCGATAAATCACTAAAATTAAAAAAACTCAAAAATCTAAATACATAATGATTTCACAAAAATCAAATAAATATATAACTTCATAATCGAAATAAATGATGATCTTACAAATGTTTAACATACTATGACAATTATTAAGTCGAATAATGAAAGATGTAAAATCAAGGAACATCATTAAGTTAAGGATATAATAAAATAGTCGATTATTTATTATATACAAATAATATTGCAAACTATAAGTTTAGCGGGTAGTCTTGTTGGTAAGAGTCTACATTATATACCCTGATAATGTGGGTTCGAATACATGTACACCTTCATGTTTTTTTTAAATTGCAACTGCTCCAATTAATAATCATGAGGGTTACCTTGGCAATAAATGAATATTACATAATTAATCATTTGTAATAATTGGGATCATAGTTAATAACATTGAAGAAGAGATCATTACTAACATTCTAATTTACACAGCATGAAATTTATAAAATAATATTGTAAAACAAGTATAAGTTAATTAAGTAGGTCCGAAATTAAAAACTCCGATCCCATAGCTATCCAGAGGCGCCCTAGATTTTCCTTCTCAGATTTCCTATACAGGGTATATCTTTACGATAGACATTAATTTATTGACAATGCTTCTACATGACAGAAAATTTACTAGAGGCAAACCCCATTTTCTACCCTACCCTCTAAAAATCAGTACCCATTCTCTGTAAACACTGCAAAGAAACAATAAGATAAATTCTTAACCTAAATGACCTAATCTTAAAATATAATTATATTTAAGTAATGCTTATTTTGTTTCCAATAATATTTTAAAGATAATCATTTTTATATTATTTTGTACTTATATTTGAATTGGGTCATCAATATTAAAATAAGCTTCATTTGGCATCTAAAAAAATTCTATGAAAGAATAAGAAGATAGACCAAGAACTTTATTTATATAATTTATCATATATTGCATATCATAATGTATATGTCGTATTGGGTTGCTCTTGATTTTAAATCCTTTACCGAGAGCGATTTAAAAAATTTTAAAGTTCCATTTAACCGGAAATGTATTCTAGCATGGGTAGAATACCCAAATTGTAAATTTCAAACAATTGCCATGTCTAATTTATATTAATTTTTATAAGGATTTTTCATATAAATTAAAAAATACTAAAATGTCTATCGCTAAAATTGGCTGAAATTTATAGGGTAAATACTCTACACATGCTGGAATACAATTCCTGTTTTTAAAATCCAAAAATCGCCCTTAGTAAATGATTTAAAATTGAGAGATTTCGAATCCCCACGGATTCCGAAACCCCATACTACATATATATTGAATTTTATTTATAAACTACAACTTTCAAAAAAATAAATATCAGGCGGAATATAAATTATAATATGAATGAATTATTTATATTTTTATAATAAAAATTATTTAATCCTAATAAAGATATATTAAATAATGATTAGATGGAATATAAATTATTGTAATCAGAAAAATTTTGAAAATGGTTTCCTCCATTTTTAATATAAGTAAAATTATTATAAAATTTTTTAACATAATTACGAATATAATATGGGTCATATCGGCCCTACAAAATTATTATTTTATACATGTAAATAGGGGTATTTAGCATTGTGGTCATCGCCCTAACTTCTGAGTCAGAAGCCCATATCTGTCTTGTCATAACATTATTTACAACTTAAGTTCTTACATCCATTTTTGAGTTGTTGTCGTAATTATAATATTTGCTATAAGATGGTGGGTTCTCCAAGTGTTTCCCATAGTCTACACCCCGACAAGGTTTGGGAGACTCTAGACTATATATTGGCATATGTTTTCCATGCCTTTGTTGTAGGAAAAAAAATATCTTGGGACATTTTCTAGTGGAGATCTGCAAAGACCTAATTCTATTTAAAATAATCGGGTTCGGGCCGAGCCTAGTATTTTTAAAAAAATTTAGGGCGGGTCGGGTCGGATCTTTTAAATTTTATTAAAAAAATCTAAATTTCTCAATTTTATATTGAATTTTTTATGTAAAATAAAAAATTTTGATTTAATTTATTGAAACTAAACGCTATATATCATATGTCTTTTATTTTAAGTAATTATAAAAATTAATTTCTATATTTGAATAAATTCGGGCCTGGCCGGGCCGGTAAATTTTTTAAAATAAATTTCGGGTTCGAGCCGCGCCGGCAAAACTTTTTTAAAAAAAATTTCGGGCCGGGCTTGAAAAATTAGGCCCGATGCAGATCACTATTTTCTAGTTTATTTACAAAATCCAATTCTGAATATGTAATTATGGGATTGTTTTTATAGGTAAAACATAAAAATATAAAATTACATTTAATTTTATTAAATTTAGTGCGTTTAGTGTGGAGATCACTGTGGTTCAAAATTCTTATATTATTCTGATATGGACTTCAAACACAGAAGTCAAGCGATGGCGACAATACCCCTATTTTTATATAAATAAAATATAATAATAATTTTGTATGGGCCCGATATGATCCATTTTATATTATTTATATTAAAAATGGATAGCATTTTGAAAATATTTCTGATTTACAATAATTTAGCTTCCATCTAATCATTATTTAATATATCTATTTTAGGATTAAATATTTTTTATTAAAAATAAAAATATTTCATTCATATTATAATTTATATTCCTCCTAACATTTTTTTGCAATAATTTATCTTCCATCTAATCATTATTTAATATATTTTTAAGATTTAATTTTTTTTAAATAAAAATATATAAATATAATTTCATTCATATTATAATTTATATTCTGCCTGATATAGTTTTTTTACAAATTGTAGTTTATAAAAAAAATTCAACAAATACATTATGATGAAGTGCAATTTATGATAAATATTATATTTTTCCATGAAGTTTTTATTACATATAAATTTTAAAATTATATGTAAACAATAATATCAAAAAAGTTCTTTATCTATCTTCTTATTCTTTCATTGAATTTTTTCATAAGATGCCAAATGAACCTTTTTTTTCTTGGTGACCCAATTCAAATATAACTACAAAATAATATAGAAATTAATTATCTTTAAAATATTATATAAGGTAAACAAAATAGGCAATACTTTAATATATTAATATTTTAAGATTAAGCCATTTAGGTTAAAAATTTATCTTATTGATTCTTTGCAGTGCTTAGAGTGGGTGAGTACTGATTTATAGAGGGTAGGGTAGAAACGAGGGTTTGCCTCTTGTAAATTTTAGGACTCTATAGTTTTTAACCTACTTAATTAACTTAAAAATACATTTAAATGTACATGGAATCGAACACATTTTCAGATTAGGTAATGTATACTCTTACTAACAAGACTACCCACTATACTTGTAAAATGCAATATTATTTGTATATAATTATAAATAATCGACTATTTAATTATTAAAAAGCGAAATTTTATTATATCCTTAACTTTAATGATGTTCCTTAATTTTACATCTCTCACTATTAGACTTAATAATCTTTAAAAAAAAAACGATACGCTGGAAACGAAACAATATATCTCTTGCAAACATTATTAAAATATTATTCTATAACATAGATTATAATGAATCAGTTGTGTTTTATATCATAATCGTCTCTATATTATATTATTAATAATGTTAAATTCTTGTCATGTTTATCGGTTCAAAAACATTGGGGGCCATTTATATCAAGATCTATTTTGATGGTGTGAGTTTCGAAATTTCATAGATCACTTCCACAAGTTAAACCGGTTTATAATCAGGGACCAGAACAAAGGCATTTTCCTTCTTTTACCTGGTTCCAGTTCCTTAAAATTTAAATCCCTTTTCATTTTTTTAAAGGTTTAAAAATGTTCACTTTCCGTTACTATCAT